TTCCTAAGACATTCCTTTCATAGTGATGATATTTAAATATATGTATATGTTTTATAGTTTAAAACATAAACTGATATTTTAAATCATGGCTAGATATATACTACTACAAAAATGCTAGGAGTGAAAAACTGCAGAAAATGGACAATCATTGCAGTCAACTTAACTCTGAAACATCACATAGTCTTACGTAGTTAATCCCCAAATCATAGAGTGTCACTCTCTGAGTAACAACTACTCATTCTTCTCTATACATATTCCAAGAGCTTTTATAAATCTTGATGCAGTAATAGAAGGTTACACTAAACTATGCCTGCCAAGAAATAACACCCCTTCTGAGAAAAAGCTCAAGAATATACTTGAAATCCATTTATTGTACTTTTCCTCAGAGGCGAAATAGATTGGAAAGAAGGGAGAATCTTATATGTATCACATTTTTATTTCCTATTTCAGAAACAGAGAATTGTTGGTGTGCAATAGATATTTAGCCAAAGTTGTATTTTTATTTATCATCAGTCTTATCCTGAGAGATACCCTTGTCCTCAAAACATTTACCTAGATCCTTAAACAAAGTGGGGGGGGTCCTTCCTACTTCACCTGAAAAACAGACATAGAACCTTTTACTACATGGGGCTCTCTTGTGACACATAAAAAACTGGAATGATACAGAGAACATGAACATGGCCCCTGAGCAAGTATGACATGAAAATTCCTGAAGCTTCCATATTTTGACACAAAAGAATAGAAAACTATGAACAAAGATGCAAAAATACTCAATAAAATAATTGAAAACAAAGATCAACAGCACATCAAAAATTAATAATAATAATCTAGCAGAATCCAGTAAGCTTTATCCCAGGGATGCAAGGATGATTCAACATACATAAATCAATAAATGTGATTCAACATATAAACAAAATCAGGGGAAAAAGACCTTATGATTATCTCAGTGGATGTAGAAAAGGCATTTGACAATATCCAGCTCCCTTTTATGATTAAAAAAAAAAGTCTCAACAAACTAGGCATAGAAGGAACACATCTCAAAATTATAAAAGCCATATATGACAAACCCACACCCAACATCATACTGAATGGGGAGAAGTTGCAACATTCCCCCTAAGAACTGGAACAAGGCAAGGATGTCCATTGCCACCACTTCTATGTAACACAGTGCTGGAAGTCCTAGCCAGGGCAATCAGGCAAGAGAAGACTATTAAGCATAACCAAATTGGGAAAGAAGAAGTCAAACTATCACTCTTCACTGATGACATGATCCTGCATCCAGAAAAATCTCAAAAAATCTTCCAAGACTCTCCTGGAATTGATAAATAAATTCAGCAAAGTCTCAGGATACAAAGTCAACGTATATAATTCAGTAGCATGTCTATATATCAACAACAGTCAAATCAAAAGTCAAATTAAAAAACTCAATACTATTCACAATAGCCACAAAGAAAACAAACTAATTAGTAATATACCTCACTAAGGAGATGAAATATCTCTACAAGGAGAACTATGAAACTGAGAAAGAAATTGCAAAGGATGCAAACAAATAGAAAAACATATCATGCTCACAAACGTACAGAATCAACATTGTTAAAATGCCCATACTACCCAAAGTCATTTACAAATACAATGCAATTCCCATCAAATTACCAAAGACACATCACACAGACCTAGGGAAAATAATTCTACACTTCATTTGGAACTAGAAAATAGCCCAAGTAGACAAAGCAAGATTGAGCAAAAAGAACAAATCTGGAGGCATCACACTACCAGGCTTCAAACTATATGACAAGGCTATAGGAAGCAAAACAGCCTAGCATTGGTAGAAAAATAGAGACACAGATCAGTAAAACAGGCCAGAGAGTCTATATGTAAAACTATCTATTGACAATGAACTGATCTTTGACAAAGCAGACAGCAACCTACATTGAGGAAAAGAAGCCCTATTCAATAAATGGTGCTGAGAGAATTGGATAGCCACGTGTGGAAGAATGAAACTCTGCCTCTCACCACTAAAAAAATTAATTCAAAATGGATACAAGACTTAGCTCTAAGGCATGCAACCATAACAATTCTAGAGGAAATTTTTATCTAGATATTTGGCCTTAGGCAGAAGAATTTTACAGCAGCAACAAAAGTAAACAAATGGAATTTAATTAAACTAAAAAGGTTCTGCACAGCCACAGAAATAATCAACAGAGCAAATAGATGACCTACAGAGTGGGAGAAAATATTCATAAGCTTCACATCTGATAGAGGGCTAATAACCAGAATTTACAAAGAACACAAACAAATCAGCAAGAAAGAAAAGGAACCCTATTAACAAGTGGGCAAAAGATGAACAAGCTTCTCAAAGGAAGAAACACAAACAAACATAAGAAAAAATGCTCAACATCATTAATCATAAGGGAAGTGAAAATCAAAACTGCAATGAAATATCACCTCACCCCAGTTAGGATGATTTTCATTAAAAAGTCCAAGAACAATAATAAATGCTGGTGTGAGTGCAGAGAGAAAGGAATGCTTATACGCTATTGGAGGGTCTGCAAGTTAGTACCATCTCCATGTAAGACAGTACGGAGAGTCCTGAATGGATTAAAAGTAGACCCTTCATTTGATCCAGCAGTCCCACCACTGTATATCTACCCAAAGGAAAAGAAGACTTTTCATCAAGAAGATGCCTGCACCTGTATATTTATTGCAGTACAATTCACAAATGTAAAGATGTGGAATCAACCCAAATGCTCATCAATTCATGAGCAGATTAAGAAAATATGGTATATGTATACCATGGAATACTATTCAGCCATGCAAAAGATGAAATAATAGATGGAAAATACCTTTCTGTACAATCTATATTGAACTAGAGACCATTACCCTAAGTGAAGTAGCAAAAACATAAAAAAACAAATACCACCTGTAGTCATTATTAAATTGGAACTAACCAATGAGCACAGAGGGAAGGAAATCTCAGCAGAAATTAACCAGGGAGGCAGGGAGATGATGGGAGGGAAATAAACCAACCTAACGGGTAACATGAAAATTATTACTGATGGCGCACTTATACCTGGGACTCAAAGATTATAAAACCAATCCACGTAACCCAAAACATTTATATCCCCTTAATATTTTGAAATTTAAAAATCAATTAAACAAACAAAACCATTCATGCAGAAAAAAGTCAAGAAAACAGATCACAGTGCCAGAATTAAAAGGGATTTCTATGTTTCTTCTTTCAACTTTCCCATATTTTGAAAAATTATTTTCAATAGGCATCTATGACTTTTAGAATCAGAAAATAAAAACTTCAGGAAAAGCAAGGCTACTTATATAACACAGAAAAAGAATTATTAAAGTAGTTCACATTAAAACTAATACAAAGAGACATTTCATCCTTCAAGCTTGCAGCCACCACCTTCATCTACCATGTGACATATGATGATATTCATCAGTTCTGCAGCCTGGCAGTGGCCAACTGTAAGTCTCTGATTACAGAACCTGATGATTTTATCAGCTGCCCAGGGGGAATGGGCACGATTTTTAGAGCCTGCCAAGTACCAAGCTCCTTCCATGTGCTACCTCACTGACGCTCACAGCCACTTGTTAGAGTCACATCAGCACTCCATTTTGCAAATGAGGAAACCAAGGTCCAGAAGAACTAGGCAGCCTGCTCAAGGTCACTCTGAAATTACATCTGTCTAAACCCAAAGTCAAGCTCTTGCTGCTCCCTTGTACCCTGGTCAAAAGCACCTTTAGTCAAAAGCAATGGAGCGAGCATTTGCTTTGGGAGTTTCTAGTTCTGATGAATTTGCCCAATGTCAAGAATATGATAGCACTTGTAAAAGCCTCCTCTTCCTTACCTTCAAGGTTGGGGCAGAGGGCTCCATTTGAAGGAATAAAAGAAGGTCTCAAGTTATACCACAAACCTATCAGATTGAGAAAATGGAGTTGTCTCTACTGTGTATAGAACAGGGGCATTTCCCAAACGAAATTATTTTGATAATAAAAGTATACAACCATAACTCTGAGAAGTTTTAATATACTTGGCGATGTGAAGAGGTAGTTTTTAAAAAGAAATTCTAATAAATTATCTGATTCATAAATTCACTCACTCTTTTAAGTTACCTATAGTTCTGGGTAAAGCTATTATTCTCCCAAATAATCTGTAATTAACTGAATTTAGTTCAAGACTAAAGATCCCCTAGACACTGTGTAAAATGGTCTATACAGGCAGCTTTCATTCAAAAAGCTTCATTTTAATTTTCAAAAAGCATGTATTTGTCACCCACAGATTCCAGGCTCCGAAGATAGTGTGCAGTGAATAAACCTTGCAACATCTTTTCCTGCCTTCAAGGAGTCCTTAAGTTGTATTAGGAATAGGGATTACTCTAAGAAGAGAAGGGCAAAGGAGTTGGGATGTGGGCACTCTGGGTCATCAGTGTTTACATTTTTACAAAGAGAAGTATAAAGCAAATACAGCAAAGGATTAATATCATAAAATCTACATGGTGAACTGTCTTCCATAGTACTTACGGTATTTTTAGTGTATTTATAGTATTTTATAATTTCATATTATTTAACAGTTTATAATCTAGGTTCAAAAATATATTATTTATCGTTAAAAAAAATCACTCACCAAGATTCTATGACCAGATACTCAAATTCATTTCAGTCTTCAACTGCATATTTTAAAATGGATGCCTTCCATCTTTTAATGCCAGCAGAGTGGTAGAGGCGTATTTTAAAACAAACAGAACAGGGTTTACATCTTCACTCTGTAAATATATTGGCCACTGTCACCTTGGGCACGTTATTTGCTGAACGAATCTGCCTCCCGTCCTGTATCTGTACTTTCCCATAGGAAAGGGTGATAAGTAGCAGGGGCTGTTAGTGTTCTTTTCCTCTTTCCAACTGAATAAGACATAGGGAGGCTGAGAGGGGGACAGTCGCCCAGCAGAACCCTAGGAGGAAGTCCGCTGCTCTTCGAGATAAGGGCTGGAGCATAAAGCAGGCGGAGGGTCTCAAGGCAGGCAAAGAAGAACCATGAGGTTCATCCTTCCTGTGGGTCTGCTTGCTACAACCCTTGCGATTGCTCCTGTCCGCTTTGACGGGTAAATCTCACATCCTGGGTTCTGATTCCTACGTAGGAGAAGACTTAAGGAATGTTTCTTTACATTTAACATTTTTTATCTTTTGCCTCCTTAAAGGGAGAAGGTATTCCGCGTGAAGCCCCAGGATGAAACAGAAGCAAACATCATAAAGGATTTAGCCCGAACCAATGAGGTAAAGCAGTTAGAGGAATATTGTATCTTTTCTTCCTGTTCTCTAAAAGATACATCTTTTTTATTTTCTTTTTAATGCCCACAGGGCTACCAAAGACAATCAAGTAGAAGAGGAAATAACAGCAACTACTTGGATAATTCCTCCAACAGTCAATACTTTATTTTTGTTTGTTTTCCCAGACTATTATTCTGTTTTTTCTTCCTAAAGCTTTGCAGATAGCTTTTTCTAGGTGAAATTGTGAAATCAGGAGATATCCTTGATACCTTTATCAGAGTCTCTTTTTCCTCCCCCTGTGCCTTGCCTGCTGCATTCCCCTACACCCACTGTCCTTCTCTGGTTGCGTAATTTCTGTTAATGTACTCACTGATACCTCAAGGTACTGGCTGATATTAAGTTGTGACCCTTTCCAAGAGCAGATACGTTTTAAAAGAAGACTCTTGAAGTTAAATCAGTCCCTTCAAAAACTATCAGGCTAAAACAATCATCTTGCCATTTACTCAGCTGGTCCTCTCTACACAAGCGCATAGCGTCAACCACCTTACAGATGCCATTTCAAGTTCCCCGGGGCCTTTGTAATGTCAGGGTCATAATGTAACCTGTTTAAAACAGGATAATTGAATTTTAAAGACAATAAATTAAATCGCCAAGATGATACATCAAATTTAAACACAGATCTGAATCTAGTATTTAGTCCAGTCACTCACATTCAAATCAAATCTCCATGTCAAACCAATCCAAAGTTCTACCTATCTAACCGCCAAATATTTCTCAACTCCATACTTTACCCTTCATTCCACTGCCACTGCCAAGTTCATGTCTACTCTACTGACTAGCAGGACCATTATGATAGTCTATTAACTAATATTTTGGCTTTCAATCCTGCTTCCCACAAAGCCAAGTCTGCATTGCAGACGTCTGCTCTCTCAAAGTATCTCATGTGTCTACTATCATTACAAATGTTCTCTCTCTGTCTCTATAAAATAGTTTTTGTTTCCACATCATTTCATTCTCACTCTTGTGCTTTCCACCATATTAGATTTTTTAAAATTTTAAATATTGAGATTTAAGAATATAAGATAGAAAGGGCGCTGCCAACCAATTTGATCTTATCCCCTCTGTGGGCAGACCTCAATAGTCTGCTTAGGAGTAACTGTGAACTTCATCTCACAGATAGGATTTTTAGATTTTAGGATTACAGGAGCGAGCTACTACACCCAGCCTGCATTTCTTACATGTCCAACTCAGGCTGTAGCTCTTTGATCAAAATAAACAAACATGTTGGTTTGGAGCAATCCCATATTGTCACATAATTGATTGACCTAGAGGCAGAAGGAGATTGAACTCTGAAACAGCCAGGCAGACTCAGGCACACCGACAAGCTTGGTGGGATGGGAGGAAAGGGAACATTTCCTTCACAGTTCCCAGGCTGGGGACATGTGGTTTCACAATTAAGTGTGATTTTGAAGAACAACAAGAACTGGAATCTTTTCAAAGTTATTGTAGACTGAATGCTGTACTTCTGAGCTCATACACCACATTTTTTAAATTCTCAGCTAGGGAGAAAGAAAGAGAGGGAAATCAGCACTTGTTAAAGGCCCACACATCCCAGACCTCATACCCATTTCACAATCTCCACAACACTCCCAGGGAACCCTCATTAGCCCTGTTTTGTAGGAGAAAGGACTGAAACGCAGAGAGTCAGAGTCACTTGCCTAAGGACGTATTGCTAAAAAAAGTGACTGCTAGGAGACTCTGCCTTCTGTTGGATATAAACCTTCCAGGAATCCCGGGGCTTACAGGGACATTGGGTTTTGAGGCCTGGCGGGGCAGAAAAAGTGATATTTAACCTAAATTCCTAATTAGAGCCAGATGCTGTGGCTGAATGAATTGTGATCCTAGTCAACCCCCAAATTATGGACACAAACAAATTAACCAACCCTTTTGGCACTGACAGATAAACTGTCCTTAAAAAGTGATCATTACAAATGATTTCTTTTCTACTCTAATATTCAACAGCTCTGAAATGTAGTCACAAAAATCTCATAAGCTTGTTTCGAAAGAGTCACCCTGGGCCCCAAATTCCTTTCATGATGTATCTTAATAAGTATGGGTTGGGTGAGCAAATAAACAATGGTGACTAACACTGAATTCATCTCTGCAGCTCGACTTCTGGTACCCGGATGACACTCACCACGTATCTGCTAACATGACGGTGGATTTCCGAGTGAGTGAGAAGGAATCCCAAACCATCCAGTCTGCCTTGGATCAAAATAAAATGCATTATGAGTAAGTTCCCTGCAAATATTCAAATGTATTAGAGGCTCAGTGTTTTTGGAAACTTAGAATTGAAAAGAAAGCTTTACAATGAAACTATTTTTAGTTGGAATTCCAAAAAACTAAAGCTCTGTCTGTGAGATAAAGTTCCCAGTTACTCCTAAGCAGACTACTGAAGTCTGCTCAGAGAGGGACTAAGATCGAATTGGCAGAGCATCTTCCAGCTTACATCTGCTCCCATCAGGAAGAATGACAATTGCCTGCATCGGCCATCTCCAAAACCAGCCCTTCATAAGCACAGAACCCGTGTGAGCAGGCACGGCTTAAATCAAAGACAGGAGAATCTCAAACAGCTAAAGATGCAGAAATGAATCATTCGGGTCCCACAGAGAAACAAGAGGAAAGTAGAAAGTATCGAACACCAAGCCTGGCCCAGGAACAGTGTGGGCCCTGGGGCAGTGAGTTCAGCAAAGACTATCACAAACAAATGCATAACTTAAAAAACAAAATGTCTTTTTACACTTTCAAACACTTACTAGTTTGTTGTGCTGAAGGGTCTAGTTTTAACTTCTCCAGGCCTTGTCTTTCCAGGAGGCCTCCATGGTCAAAATATTGCTAAAAGATAGTTCTTTCTTTCCGAACCTTCTATTTCATGGCTCCACTACCTGACTGGTGCTTTAACTCAGAAGGGCTTTTTCTGCTGAGATAAAGACCCTGCTGAAGTTAGTAATATAACACTGTAGAGCAGGATTTACCACTGTTTGTCATGACCTGACTGTATTCATGATCCTGCTACAATACCTCAAATATATAAACTCTATTGAAATTATGCAATTATATGTAGCACATAAAACAAGTTAAGATTCTCCTTAATGATTTAAAACACAGCAGACTATTATTTTTGATGGGTTTGGATCCCTGTTTTGTTTTTGCTATTGTTTCATAAGGATTATGATAGACATGTAGAATTTAATAAATTGGGAAAACATAATTCAAAATTAATTTATACCAGCATTTGACTCCCTCAATTAAACTATACCCTCATTTAACCCCCTCTTCAGTAAACACACATTGATATGTGTTTTTCACGTTTTTACAAATTGCACCATTAAAATTAGAAATGGATGCTGCATAAATATAAGATCGCAGAAATTTACAGTACATTATGGATTATTTGCCTGCACTAGGTTTCAGATGACATCTTTATTCCTTTACCTAAGAGAAATCACCCCTGGTTACTCTTGAGTTAGTTAGCAGCCAGTCTTCTCAAATGCAAATTTGTAAATTCTCATTACACTGTTCACTTTGGTAAAATGGACCTGACCTGTACTCCTGTGATCAACTAATTCTTATACAAAGTATCCACCCCAAGCTAAAATAAAGTAGGGCACTGAAAATGCTATATAATTTGGCTTGAACAGCAGGGTAAAAAATTAGGTGTTATATTTTCCTTAATAACCTTGTCATGTAGACAAAAAGCTAGTTGGGGAGGGGGCCCACAACCTTCAGTTCATCACGTAATTCCCATCAGCTCTGTCTTCTCCTTGGTCCTCTAGGCCTCTGCCTAGAATCTAAAATGATTCTAACTCAGCTAGAGGTCTAAATCCAGATCCTCACAAACTGGAGTGTGTTTTTCACTTTGTCTTATGCCAAGATATTGTCTTACTATCTACACCAAGGACTGAAGTGTAAACTACCTATAAAAAATTAGTTTTATCTAATTAAGTCATGATTTCTAAAAACTGGCCCGAATCAGCCCCAGTTGTAGGAAAGCCATATGATTTGATAGTTACCTTCCTCGGAAATATAAATATGTAAAGTGATCTGAGCAGACAAGAACTATTTAAAATCTTGTCTCCAAGTACTAATTATATAGATAATTTTATTTGCATATTAATTATATGTGTTACTTCATGTCAGTCAGCAACAGAAGAGGGTTCTAAGAACAGAAACATCTGGTTGGACCCGGGCACCAGGCTGAATTAAACATATTAAGAGGCTGGTTTGACACAATGATTTACTTAGACACCCTTCATTAGACAGTGCATAGAAACCACTATTTAGTTTAAAGCGTCTGTGTTGTGATTTTTTTTAATTTTCAGAAAGTTAAATTACTAAGCCAGATTCTAAAGTAATGTACTTGCTCCCTTTTATTTATAATCTGATTTTTATTTACAAAATCACAAAAGGTCTTCAGGTCCACAAAAACAAATAATATGTCTATACTAACAAACACAAATAAACCACTGAATGAATGTCAAAAGGAAAGTATCGCCATTGCACTGAACCTTAGGAGCAGACATCAGATTTGGATTTAGCAGTGAAAAATTCTAGTGTTTCTTAAAATATTTTTCACATTTAGATAGTCAATATTTAACATTGTCTTTTCATCAATCAAAAACTAAAATCAGCTGGATGTGGTGGCTCATGCCTGTAATCCTAGCACTCTGACAGTTCGAGGCAGGTAGATCGTCTGAGCTCAGCCTAAGCAAAAGTAAGACCTTGTCTCTAAAAATGGCCAGGCACTGTGGCAGGTGCCTGTAGTCCCAGCTACTTGGGAGACTGAGGCAAGAGAATCACTTGAGCCCAAGAGTTTGAGTTTGGGGTGAGCTGTAACGCCAGGGCACTCTACCAGGGGGTGACAAAGTGAACTCTGTCTCAAAAAAGAAAAAGTTAATATAACAAAATAAAGAGTTGTTAATGAAAGGTAATTCAGAAAAAAAAAAATAATTAGTATAATAAAACTCAATGCTATGATTTAGTACAATTTTATTAAGAACCACATAAGATTCTGTGGGACACGCCAAAGACAAATATGCTCAATGGACACAGGGATAAACAGCACTTCATATGCCACATACCTTGTTTCCCCCAAAATAAGACACTGTCTTATATTTATTTTTTCTCAAGAAGACACACTAGGGCTTATTTTCAGGGGATGTCTTATTTTTATTAAGTATAATACAACAGTCTACATTTATTCAAATACAGTTAAGTGACCTTGTTGGTGGGGCTGGAGCTAGTGATGCGTGAACTCCTTTCCCCTAACCATTTGCACGTGCACAGTAGGATGCCTGCCACTGTGGTTACCATGCTCACACCTGCACAAATGCAAATGGCTCAGAAAGGAGCTGTGGCAGATAAAAGGTATTCCAGTCTTCCTTACTGCTCCACGCAGAAATGCACACCCATCACTAGGTCTTATCAGTGGGATAGGGCTAATATTTAACAAATGCATGGAAATCCTGCTAGGGCTTATTTTGGGGGTAGGTCTTATTTTCTGGGAAACACAGTAAATGTGTAATTATAGTGTAATAATCAACCAACCAAATTCATACTCTGAATATACATACAGTCCAATCAAATAAATCCTTCCAATGTGTCACTCTATTCATTTTTTCTTCTGCTTCCCACATTTATGGGTTCTTGCCTAAGAGTATAACATGTATTTTAAGGCTGCCATAAATGATTAAGTGTATAATTTGTCATGGAGAAAAACGGAGGAATGTGGAAGGTGGGTTCTGGAGCAAGGCTGTCAGAGTCCAGGGCCATTCAGACTGTGCATTGGGTATTTAATATGGACAATTTATTTAACTTCTCTTCATTTCATTTACTTAATTTGTATAATGGGGATAAGAATGGCAGCAATTTCACAGGGGTTTCATGAACATTGATTGGAACCATAAAATTACTATTTGCCTGGTCCTGATTTGTATTACTGCAGGTAAAGAAAACTCCATCTGCCCAGGGGCTAACGTGTGTGCACACACACACACAATGCGAGAGGGGTATCACCAGGCGCTCCATTTCCTTCTAATTGAATCAATTAGTGCCTTAAAGTGTATCATTCCACAGTAGTGAACCTCAGAAGCTAGGAAATCTGTGCTAATAAGTATGGTGTGTGATGCATGGTAACGCAGTGAGGGAGTGGTGGGAACAAACTGGATCTCGTGGAAACTTGAAACCACTTCTTTTGAACATCCCCCCTATCCTGGTGTCATAGGGGCATCAGGAAAATCCAGAGCAGCTTATGAGGCACCCTGACAATGGCTCTGTCTCCTTGAAACACCCTTCCACGCTGCACATGCACACACAGAGTCTATGGAAGTCACATACACTGGCCCAAAGTTCTCCAGTCCTTCTTTGTTACTCTCTAGAAGCAGCAGAAGGAGGGAGCCTTGAATTATCAGCATATAATTCATCTCACCTCTTTTCTGAACCTCTTACCTCTCCTTGACCTTAGGATATGACAGGCTGCCATCAGAGCTGGTTGGAGACAAGCTCCCATCAGAGCCGGTTGCCTGAGCAAACCTTGCACAAGCCTCTGAAGACTAAGGAGGGTCAAGTCTGATAACAACATCCAGGGATTTAACTCTTGTGGTGAAGGCACCATTGTGCCATCGTTTGCAGCTAGGGTACTGAAGTCAGACCCCTCCAGGTCCATAGCCCAATTCCCGTATTTTACTAGTTTATCAATTTTAGAAATCAACCTAACCTCTATGTAAACTGGGGGGCGATAAGTGCACCCAATTAATCATGTTGATGTGATAAAATGTAAATACAGAGACATGCAGAGCACCCAGCACATAAGAACGGCTCAATAAACATTAACCATTTTTATTATTAAATCCCCAGTGATAATTATTTACTCTTTCACCTACATTTAGGAATTTTTTTGACAAATTAAGCAAATTTGGGAGCATTAAAACAGTATTCGACAGAAAGTAATTTGGTTTCATCTGCCTACGCTTGGAGGCTGGTTAGTGGAAGGCTCATGAAAATAACATTTGGCCCTAGTTCTTAATTTCCAGCCTTAGGCTTAATTTCCAGTCCCCACCAGCAACAATCTGTCACCACTCTGACGTCCTCACACAGCTGCATTTGCAGAGAGGCCATATTTCAGCTGACATGATTTTTCTTTTTTCACTGCTGTTATCACTACAGCTAAACTGATATGGGTAAGTCTAAAAACATTCTTAGATTCAAGCTTCCTGTCACTAATCAATACCGCCTTATGTTACGAATCAACCTCTCAACCATAAACTTTCTTTTTTACTGGGTTCCTCTACTTCTACGAATGCAGGCGGAGCAAAAGCCATGCACCCTCTTTAGAGCTGAAAGCAATTATTTATGTCTGAGGTGACCCACCAAAACATAATTTCAAAGCTTCTCAGGCTTCCTCTGAGTTTTAGTGCCACGGGCTCCACCTGATTCCAAAATCACTATCACAAATTTATTTTCTCAGAAAGCCCAGACTCATCATAAGTCAAAAGCAAAGCAAACAGTGAGTTAGAGGTAATGTGTGTAATGGTGCACTTGTCAGTGCTGTTAATGGGAATCAATATTCATGAGAGCACTTGGTCCCATGTGCTAAATAAACTCTAATTAGGAGTATACAGCATGTGTGTTCTGCATCAGAACTGAGATCAGTCAGTCAGTCTGCAAGGAAAAGCCACCGAGCAGAGGGGAGCCCTTCAGGGTCATTATCATAAGAAAGTGAGACTCAAACAACTACATGCCATCAAAGCCTGGTTCAAAAACATGTTCAGTCTGTGCCATGGTTTCAGGGTTTTGACTCAAATTCAGTTACTCTGAAGTTCCCTAGGTGCCTAAGGTATGCCAAGCGCATCTCAGACTTTGCTTCAGTTCATCCTCACCACAATTCTGGGTGGTCTACGTCGTTTAGAGAACGATAGGGAATGCTATGGTGGTATAATACAAGCCACATGTGTCATTTTAATTATCCCAGTACCAACATAAAAAAGTTAAAAGCAACAACTGAAATTAACTTTAGTAATAGGTTTTATTGAAGCCAATGTATCGGAAATATTAACACATCAGTATAAAACTTATTAGTGAGATATTTTACATAATTAGTTTTACTAAGTCTGCAAAATTTAGCCTATATTCCACACTGATAGCCATCTCTGTGTTTGGCCAGGTCCCAGTTTAAGTGTTCTGGAGGCCACTTGTGGCAAGAGACTATCATGTTGGGCAGCACAGCTCAAGATAAATGGGGAGGTCAGAAGCCGGACCCGTGACATGTCTAGAGAAGACGGATAGAAAGAAATATTGAAGAAATGTAGCCAACTTGATTAAAGATAGAAGAGAGGAAGAGAGATTTTCTGCAAGTGAAAGATAACTATGTTTTTCTTTCCCATGATAAAATGCATATTTTATCATTGCCCTGTCCAACAGAATTCTGATTCATGATCTCCAGGAAGAGGTTGAGAAACAGTTTGATGGTAAAGAAGATAGTTCAGACAGACACAGCTATGAAAAATACCATAACTGGGAACAGGTAAGGCATAAAATCCCTATTCTTCCCAAACAAAGTTACCCTCAATAGTTATCGTCAATTCGTTTCCTTGTATTCCAATTTCTCGAAATTGCTTTTGTTCTTAAGATTGTGGCTTGGACTGAAAAAATGGTGAATAAGCGCCCGGAAATGGTCTCTCGTATTAAAATTGGATCTACTGCTGAAGATAATCCACTGTATGTTCTCAAGGTAAAAATAATTTAATGACCACTGATCTTATTATTGTTGAAAAATACGAAGTGAAAAGTTATGTTATAACACAACTGAACTAATGTTGAGACAATAAAAAGTACTATTGTATCAAAGAGTAATTAAGCTGTAGACATCCATTCAAGAATAAAAGTGAAAGGTGGTCTTTGGCAGAAGCAAGAAAGAATCTAAATAAATATTTGTCAAAGACTGCACAGTGGAAAAACCCAGAAAAGCAGCTCATCCTGCAGAGTGTTTGGCATTTCAACCTCATACTGATGGAAGGGGGGGGGGGGAATGAAGAGAGGTGCACTAAAGAGTAACCCACAGTAACGTAGAAGGAATAAATTCAGTGTTTGATAGTAGAGTAGGAATATTATACAGGTACTTACTGAAATGTATTGTACCCAGGTGATGGACACTTAAATATCCTGTGTTGATCACTCTGCATTATAAACAGGAAACAAAGTTTTACCTGTACCCCATAAATTTCGTTCTAAGACAGACCTAAAAATTGCCATTCAGCTGCTGCTGGAGTTTTGTACTTGCAAAGAGACTGTTCCCTCAAGTAGCCCCTTAATTACTGGGAAGCCCATCCTTACCCTCAACCCCCATCCTTTCATTGTCTAGAACCACCTAAAACAAATCTAAGCCCTCTTCAGAAGTGCAGCCCTTCAAATATCCTGTACTATTCCTCCACCCAGTCCAAACACGACACAACGTCTCCACTCTAGGCTAAACACCCCCAGTTTCTAAAACCAGATAAACAAGAGGAAATGGCAGAAACAGAAGTGACTTTATAAATTATTTCTCAGAATACAGAACATTGGCGATAAATAAGAAAAAAAAAAGGTGATTTTTTTTTTAAATCCTAAACGCTGCCCTGACACTAGGAGAAAATTTTGAAAAAATTATAGAATGTAATAGGTTATGAACATGCATAGACATTGAAGAATATGTGCCACGGTCCTCCCTGAGAACAATACGTACATGCACAATTTCCACTCCACAACAGAGGGGGCCAAGAATTGCTTTGAGAATATGAATGAGTTATTGGTCGACAAGGGATCAATGTGTTAGTTCATGCAAAATGATATCTCAAGTTTATTTTTAAATAGATTGGGAAAGAAGATGAAAGCAGAAACTCTATTTTTATGGATTGCGGCATTCATGCCCGAGAATGGGTCTCCCCAGCATTCTGCCAGTGGTTTGTCTATCAGGTAAGGGAATCAAAACACTGGCACCATGCTCCCTGGACGGCCACCTGCCTCTCCAGCAGTTCCCGAGCGGGGACATCCCTTTCCCACCGTGCAGTCCCACTTAACTAGAGGAGCTCACACTTGGTGCTGTCAGGGAAGAAACGATCTGGATTCTACTCAACATTACAATTTTTATAAAATTGACACCTTCCCTTCAAATGTCTTGAACTCCAACTAAAAGTTTATGGAACTAAAAAAAAAAAAAAAAGCTTTTTTGGCACTATAATATGAAAATTCTTCCTCGTCAAGTATGGAAAAGCTGAAAGTACCTTCATATTCCAACCTACAAATCTGACCTTTCTTCAATGAACTCAAAACCTAGATCTGTCATTCCTTTTTAGATATTTCAATGGCCATACATGTGTGTGGAATTTTCATACTAAATTTCCTTTCCAACTGAAAAATCAGTCACTTTTTCAAAGGTAATTCCAGTTTATATATTTGTCATTCCTCTCGCGCTATTGCTACTGTGTTCTGACTCCTAATGTCTTTCTCACTTTCTCTGTCTACCAACTATTGCATATCACACACTGATGGAATTTGCATGACAGTGGTTTTGGGGGCATAGAGAATCTGCCAGTAGAACTAACTTACTCCTAAAGTTGTTTCAACTCTCCCAGATGAGCACTGAGAGTTCCCCTTAACTCAACCCATAACGGCCACACATCTTAGAGCTACAGAAAAATTCTCTTGGCTCCAGTACAGATATACCTGGAAGGGATCGTCCAAGAGTGGGGCCAAAGATGTTAGACAGCCACTGCAAGGCCAAGTAATTAGGGAAAGTTCACTCAGATATGTGAAAAACTCGATTGGTCCATCTCTAAATTCTTGAGTAATTTTATTAATAGATATTTTCTTCTCTAATCCTGTTTATAACTGTTTTACAACTCCTCTCCAATGTTTCCATATTCCTGTGCTTAGAGACTCAGACTACATTTACACAAAGGATGTGAGGGGAAGAATCCATTCAAAGGAAAGGATCCATTTAAAATAAGTTGCACTAAAAAAAATTAAAATAAAAAATAAGTTGCACTTCCCACTTGGCCTCCATTCTTCCTGTGAAACATATCTCCCATGCCACATTTGGAATGGTGCTATAAATTCTGATGATTAGATGATTCTTTAAGGAATGTTCATTACAATTTTTAGTAGAGATGGGGTCTCACTCTTGAGGCAAGAGGATCACTTGAGCCCAGGAGTTTGAGGTTGCTGTGAGTTATGATGCCACAGCACTCTACCCAGGGCAACGGAGTTGAGACTCTGTCTCAAAAAAAAAAAAAGAATAAGTTCATTTTAATTAATATCACTAGTCTGAATAAGTGATGTTTTATTCTTATGACCCATAAGGGTCATATATTTTTGTCCATATATATTTTTTTAGAAAAAATATTTGTAATTATGAGTCCTTTGACAAATAACTCACATTATAACTACTAAAACCACAGTTCTCCACATGGTAGCTAAACATTATAGCAAATGCTTGATTTTTTCCTACCCCTACAGGCAACCAAATCTTATGGAAAAAACAAAATTATGACCAAACTCTTGGATAAAATGAATTTTTATGTTCTTCCTGTGTTCAACGTTGATGGATATATTTGGTCATGGACAAAGGTATTGTTCTGTACTCTGATTTAGATGATATAATATTTACTGGTTTTAATGCACACTTATTATGCATTAAGTTTCAGGTTTGGATAACTAGTTAATTTCAATTTAGAAAAGTGTATTTTGGCTCAGTGCCTGTAGCTCAAGTGGCTAGGGGACCAGCCACATACACCAGAGCTGGCGAGTTCAAATCCAGCCCGGGCCTGCCAAACAACAATGACAACTACAACCAAAAAAATAGCCAAGCGTTGTGGCGGGTGCCTGTAGTCTCAGCAACTTGGGAAGCTGAGGCAGGAGAATTGCTTAAGCCCAAGAGTTTGAGATTGCTATAAACTGTGATGCCACAGCACTCTACCCAGGACAACAGCTTGAGACTCTGTCTCAAAAAAAAAAAAAAAAAAAAAGCATTTTTTTTTTAATCTCAATTTCAGACTAAGTGAGGTATGATTTCCTGGTTACATAGGTATCTTTGAAATAATATGAAGTTTTGCTGTTGAGGCTAGGTATGTGGAAAACTGAAAGAAAGCAGTAATTATTAAGGAAATGTATGATCATGTGATATGGCATATTCTAGCTAAGAATGAAAGTCATTTAAAACCCTCATGAACACATTAATTTCAAGGCAAAAGTCACTGTATTCCATCAGTGTGGAATAGGATTTAAGGTAAAATCATCATATCAAAAATAACTAAAAGAGAGACTCAGATATCTATTTGTCTTTTAAAAGGCATTTTTATAGTCCTGCTGTTGCTAAATAAAATTAATACTGAACTTTTAGGCAGACACTATCTCAAGTCCTTTCTGGAAAATTATGCTCCAACAGTCACCATTTGACCTGCACTATATCTGAATCTGTAAATGGTGAAAGATGTAATGAAGTTATCACTTAAATTATAGGTAATTTTGAAATATTATTGATCAGTTTCTAATACTGTGAACAAGTCAACAATTTTTAAAACTAACTGCATTATTTCATCAAGCCCTAGGAATATTAATATTCACATATTAAAAATGATGTTTCTGAAAATATTACATATTATAAGAAAACCATACTTTTCCTTTATAATAAAGGGCCTCAAGTTAACTAGATACATTTCAAATAAAGCTGTAGACACCTGCAGAGAGAATTTGAAATGAACAAATTGAAAAATGCAAAGCAATCTTGTGTAAACACTTGTATCATTCAATCCGGCAGAACCGCATGTGGAGAAAAAATCGTTCCAAGAACCAAAACTCCAAATGCATTGGCACCGACCTCAACAGGAATTTTAATGCTTCCTGGGACTGTAAGTAGCAGACTGAGTCTCCAAGAAAATTGCTATAAAGGGCATTTAGATACCAAACTTGGCTAAACTGCCTATTTCAGTGAAAATGGGCATTCCTTGAGTGACTGTTAATTTTCTTATCTATAAAATGGGAGATAATCATCACCACTGTTGAAGGATCATAAATGTTTTGCTGTGTGGAAGGAAACGGGGAGAGAGGAGCTGCTTATCAAGCCATCTCTTATTTCTTAAAAATCAGGCATAAAACTTCCGATGGTCTGACAAGAGGCCTTGGGTAACTCCTCCCTCCTTCTCCTTTTCCTCCTCCTGGTCTGATAAAAACTGAGAAATGTCACTGGTTAAAACCAACCTTGAGGTAGTTCTCCAAATGTGTAGCAAAAATAAATACCTGGGACAAAAAAGTGAAAACATCTGATGGAAATATAATGCTAAGCAGAGGCTTGTGATGTGCGATGACGCTTTAGTAGCTGCACAACTATAACTTTATCATTGCAAACGGTCAAGGACAAATTACCACTGTCCCAGTTCATATATTTCGTCTATGCCTGATTTTGTTGGAAAAATCACCTCAGTCTTTAACTCCATTCTGCCATAATGACTATGATAATAACAGCTGTTTTCCCTAATTAAGCGCTTTCTGATAAAAGGAGCTGAAAAGACCCAGCCTCAAAGAAGGTCATTTTACACCAGGCCCTAGTGAGTTAGAGCTGGGGTTGAATTGGACCTGGGGTCTGTCTGGCATCCAGCCTGGCTACTTCTGTGGCCTGGGGAAATAAACACAGCTAAGATCATTCTAGTGGGCTAAGTCTGTTACAACCAGACAGGTGAGTACATAGTTAATCTGTAGTGACTATGACACAAGACAGCGAGGCCGCCCTGTAAACAAGAGAGGCCTAAATGTTTAAAACATTTAGCAAACCACTTCAGCAGAGGCAGGAGCTGGACGGAAGCAGAACAGACTTTGATCTCATCCACCCGTGTCTTCTGCAGCCTCTCCTCAGACCAGTAACCCATGTGAGGAAACCTACAGGGGCCATGCACCAGAGTCTGAGAAGGAGACAAAAGCTGTCACTGACTTCATTCGAGGCCACCTGAAATCAATCAAGGCTTACATCACCTTCCACTCCTACTCCCAGATGCTGTTGTTTCCCTACGGATATACATCAAAACTGCCCTTCAACCACGAGGACTTGGTATGTAGAAAAAAGTCGGTGGTTTATACTTGGACATCACCATTGACTTTCAGTCTGTTCTTCATTCACTTGGGTTATGTTGAAAGAATTTCATATTTTAATACCAAAGGGAAGAAATAATGAAGAGAGTTCAAATTATTATCTTTAGATTCATTTTTAATTTGATAAAATTATAGAGATGATAAAATCTTTCAATGTGATTCTAAAAAAAAAAAAAAAGAGTAGAAAGAAATGTCTAGGCAGGAGTCCTCAAACTTTTTAAACAGGAGGCCAGTTCACTGTCCCTCAGACCGTTGGAGGGCCGGACTGCGGGCCCTGGGACAAGTCAGCTGCTTAGCAAGACAGGCAGCAGCAGCAAAAACACCTGGTGGGCCAGATAAATGTCCTCAGCAGGCCACATGTGGCCCGCGGGCCGTAGTTTGAGGATGCCTGGTAGGGCATCAGTGTAGAATTCTACTACTGCACAGCTTGTTGTGGAGTTTAACATATACCGTGAGTCTCCAACCACACACAAAAGCCTAATGGAACAGCAAAGACGTCAGCTAGTCCTGTTCGCCAAACAACAAATTTAAGGAGATCCATTGTATTTTTTTCCTCTTGATCAGCTTGGAAATTATATTAACTATTTCATAATCCAAAGAAAGAACATAATACATATTTGTGAAGCTTCCTCACTAAGAATACACTGTTTTTCTAAAACTACGATTCATTAAATATTATTTTCGTTTGTATGCAAACTGATTTGATCATGTGAGCTTTGGGGAAAAAAAACAACAACCCTACATACGGGTTCCAATGAATCACAAGAACTGACAAGGTAAATGAATGGATAGAGAGATAAACACTTTAAATTTCTGTAGAAGGAAAGAGAGTGGATGAAGTTCAGTGGCCCAGACCCACAGAACTGGCAAATATAGCACATCCAATAAAAGCTGTGGTTGAAATGCTGCCCTCATGAAATTAAAAAAGAATTTTTAAGGGGTCATAATTTTCATTTTTACCTCAGTCAATTATAGTCAACACAACATTTAATTTTAGTAGCAGCAGACATTTGAGCAGTCATTAAAGTCACCTTTCTATATACAACAAAGAAAATACATATAAGCAATGGATGACCCATTGAGCCATTATTAGCCAATCTAGCTGAGAATCTCAACCCATGGGTTTAATTTATGCAAAGTTACAACAGCACAATTTCAATCTGCTCTTAGGAAAATAATATTATGGCTAAAAAATACATTTATACACACACAAAAAAAACCCCACTTTGAGTAAAATCAGAGTTCTTAAGAAAAAGTACTACCTGGTTATATGCATTTATTACAGTCTTTTTAAAAATCTTCATTTGGAGGGCAAATACATTATGCCTATATTCTATTGAAGTTCATCTGGCAATCATTCTTACTATTAAAACAGTAACATGTTTTAAAGGTCATAAAATGCCACTCTGGAAGAGAAACCCTAATTTAATAACTATTTTAAAGGAGAGTCAACCACCCTTCTTCCCTTGGCATCCTGAAGTTAGATGAGTGGAGAAAAAGTCTGGTGGCAACATGGGAACCTATCAAAGACCAAGAACAAGGAACACAGTCTGAGAAACTGCAGAAATTAACAGAAGAGCCAAACATCTGAAGTCATAGGCAAAATCTGAAGGGAATAAAGAGAGAGAGGTGGGGGAGAGAAGAGGGAAAAGAAAGAGTAGAAATACAAAGTAAGATATGGCATTATGGTAAATTATTAATTGCATGGTTAAGAGTCCTTATAATTACATGTAATACTGAAAATGTTTCTCCCTTAACCATTTATTTTATTTTGATCTTCAAATGCCAAGTAACTAACAAAATTGATTTTTAAATCCTCATTAAATTAACAGTATTGACATAACTCTATTATTTCCCTCTGGCTTTCACCCTCCAGGCCAAAATCGCAAAGCTTAGCACCGATGCTCTGTCAACTCGGTATGAAACCCGCTACATCTACGGCCCAATACAATCAACAATATGTGAGTTTCTCCTATTAGTTTCTATGTCTTTCCTAATTACTTTTTATAAATATTAAAGAAAATTATAGAATTTCTAAATTAGGGTTAGCCTACCACTACCCCACAAGGTTTTATCCTTGCAGGAACTATTATTATAACACGAATTAGCTGAAGCGGAGTCAACGCTTTCTTTTTAAACCATTTAACATTAACTGGACTCCTGACCGGGCCTTATCTTGATGTGAGTCTCATCTTGTCTTAGCTCCTAGTGGGAAACAGGTAGACCATTGGTTTTAGTCTGACCCGCCTCACTCACTTCTCATTCTATTCAACTGCAGGCTACATGGTGGACCAGGAAAGGGGTCACAAGTTTCTGGTTTTGTCACTTTTGTTTTATAGTCACTGCGCCACTGTTTACTCTTCACTGTTTTTAGACTATTGTTGACTGTGTGTGTTTCTGAATTACTGACTTCTTGGCCTTGATTTACTTATTTTTCAGTCTCCTATTCTACAGGCACGGAATCAGTAAATGCTTTCTGTGTTAAGCAGTTTCAGCTTTTCTGGAGGTACTGGCCTCTGTTGCAGCTACCCACATGGGGCAGCCACCAGTCCAGCCACAGACAGTAAGGTCATGAATGGACACGGCTATGTTCCAATAGGATCTCCTTCACAAAGGCAGGGGCATGGCCGGGACTTCCCAGACCCCACAGGATCCACTAAAACATGTCCACAACTTTTTATTGAGTGTTTTTTACAAGTTAGGCACTGTCCTTAGCCCTTGATTTTCACAATCTCAGTCCTGACAATCCCATGAGATGAACAGGATTGCTTGTCACTTACCAGTAACTAGCAAAAGTGGGGCTCAATTCTCTTCCCAAAGTGGTGACCCTGCCCTGGTTCAGGCTTCCGCTTCGCAGTAGCTTCTCACTGATCTCTGCTCTTTTCAATGCAGATTAAAGGTGCTAGATTGACCGAGTACCTCCCACAGAAAATCAAAACACCTGGTCCTGATTCACATGTTTTCTCAATTTTACCCACAGACTCTCACTGTTTCCTTTGCACCAGTCCACCTGGATCTCACTAGTCCTTAAAAAATGGCTCCATGTTTCTCCATTTGTGTAATGTACTGGTCAGAGTGCCTTTCCTGCTCGCCGCCTTGAAAACTACTATCCTTTCTTCAAGGTTCTCCTCAAATGGCACTGTCAGGAATGGCTTAGAATCCCCTGGATCTTGTTTCCCAGAACCAAAGAGTGGCATCTGGTAGCAAGTCCCTGGCAGATCAAATACAGAGGCACTCAGACGGGTCACAGGAGCAGTCTCTATCACACAGGCAGAAAACAAAGCGAAAGTGCATCTCAAAGGAGGGACCGGTCTATCCCCGTGAGTGGAGAAGACCCTGGGGGCTTAACGCATTTCTACTCTTACATCTATGGCTAATGAATACACTGGGCACTAGGAGGAATAGCCTTTATTTTCTTAGAAAAAGGTGTGGATTTCTTAGCATTTAGGGCCCTCTCCATCTCTATCTAGCCTCATAAGATCACTTCCAGCAGTGGCCAAGGCACTTGTAAACTGTCATGGCACTGGTGCGTGTGATTTTTACCGTGCTAATGAGGCTAAGTGGGACAAAAGGTCAGTGTGGGTTGTGAGGTCCCAGCTTTGCACATGCTCCAACCCTGGAAAAGTCCCCAGTCTCAAGTTCCCTGCCATGGTGGGGTAAGTGCTAGATATTTATGGAAGGGCCGTGGCCTCCTCAAGTTCACTTCCCTTCTGTGAGCCTGCACCTGCTGTCTCTCCCTAACCTGCCTCCCTAGCCTGCACCTGCTGTCTCTCCCTAACCTGCCTCCCTAGCCTGCACCTGCTGTCTCTCCCTAACACCACCTCCGTCATGAGGGTGGTATTTGAGCTGGCACTGTTGATGAAATGTCATCCTCCTCCCCAAGAATACTCCTTTTTTTCTTTAAATCTTCATAATACATCATTCCTGTGGCATTTAGTGTATTCTTCTCTGTCTCTATATTAGCACCTTGACTTTTCTCCTGGAAGTTCTAAGTTCTTGAAGACATCAATAGTGTCTTCTTCATTTTGTACTTTGTACATCCTCTCTGGTGCCAAGTAGAGATACTGCTAAAGATTTGATAAATGTTTGTTGACTAATTTAACAGCAAACCCTATCTCTTATCACCAAAATAATTCTTGTCTTCCTTCCTTGCAGCATTAAATTCTTACCTTTTGAATAAAGTGTTACCAGTTAAACTCATTCCTTGTCCTAAAACATAAATGATTTACATACAAAAACAATCTACTCTCTTACGCAAAGCAAACTATGGATACATCAATGCAGTTATAGCTACACTAATATCGTTATATAACCTCTAGACGTGTGCATAATCCACATTCCTGTACGCAGATAACCTCTAGGTATGTGTTTACATCTCCAAACTTTTTACCAAAAATAACATCTTTAGTAAAATTTTATAAAAATTGACATAGAAAATTTGGATTTAGGGTTAAATATGTCTTCAAAATAACTGATTCAAATTTTATACACATTGGTCTTTAAACTGTAAAATAGTTTACCATAACAATATAACAGAAGACCTAAACTACTAGACAGAATATAATTTTGTACAGCTTTTATGTATAGTTTTCCTGGTGGTTTTCAATTACCAGTTACCCCTCAGTCGGGAGTTGTTTAAGCTGCTTAGAGTGGCTCAGAGCACCTCCATCTACAACAATGTGGGCCTAGGAAATAAATTCAATTTACTACTGACCCAACAAAAATGTATTTTTTTAAATGCAGCTAATGTTTAAAATGTGTTGTAGATTCAAAAGTCCTAATTATGTTGTACTGTCTACTCTGTGCTATTCAGACTACTACTCCCATTCATTACTGAAATTAATGGTATACAACATTTTTTATTGCTACTTTTACTTTTACACTAGCAATTTCCATTTTAAGAAAAAAAATTAGCATTTGTCTCTAATGAAATATTTACTGTTATGTTTTGCAGACCGGACATCAGGCTCGTCTTTAGACTGGGCTTTCGACCTGGGCATCAAACACACATTTGCCTTTGAGCTCCGAGATAAAGGCAAATTCGGTTTTCTCCTTCCGGAATCTCAGATAAAACCAACCTGTAAAGAGACTATGCTCGCTGTCAAAGTTATTGCTAAGTATATCCTCAAGAATACTTCCTAGAGAATTGCCCTCCATTTGGAATAAGCCAATTAATCCCTTTTTCGTGGTGTGCCTTTACTAGAAAGTCAATCATTAATTACCCCCAGATGCAGCTGCCTCATCTCCCAAACAGAGCCTCCTCAGGCTCGCTGAAGTCCCATGTTATTGCTCTTTGCTTTTATTTACTGAGAAGCACCTTAACGACGTAGCTTTAAGCAAAACTTTTTAACTACTATGCTTTACTCCAAGTGAAGTTTTAACCCAGCAGAGAGCATCACTTGGAGCTCTCTGCAAGGTGATCTACAGTGGGGCACAGGAAAGATGAAAACCTTCAGTTTCGCTCGCCTCTGGTTTTCAGCATGTGGCTTCATCATTTCATGTGCTGACATTATAAAAGAATAAAGTGCATCCCAATGCTGTAAAAATGGATCTTCTGTTTCTGATCAACCATTCTCTGCATGTCTCTAGAGCATTAATATCCAAAATGAACGTCTCTCATTCAGTATGTTAATAAGAAAGAATATCTTCAGTTTCAAAAACACGACTTGCCATTTTTTTCTCATAGAAGTAGACGTTGTTTATTTCTTTGAAAATAATAAAAAAAGAGGTCACAACAGGAAGGAAAATAGTTCACACAATGATGAATCTGTGCTTTAAACAATCAATCCAGTTCTCATTAACATAACATACACCAATTCAAAATAGTTTAAACTGCCATAATCGATGGAAACTGCCTATCAAAACATCCCTTGGCAGTTACAGGCACAGCTGAGACAGTCTGGTCTTCCATGACCCGTTCCCTTCTAAATGTGTGGTAAGTTGAGGAAAGTCGTATTGACAAAAGGCAGTCAGGGTAATTTGTTACCGTTATACTGTTTACATCCTCTTGTTCAGCACAGTATTACAAAATACCTTCTTCCCAATACCCATCCTTCTGTGTCTGATCAAGTGACAAGAGTGACAATGTCTGCATTCCAGAAATCCAGAGCACGGAGATGCCCACCCCAGGTCTGACCAGAATTTGAACAAGTAGAGAGTTCCTTGGCTTCCAGTAAACTTTCTTCTCAGAACACTTTGGATACAATTTTCAAGGATCCTGAAAAGTCCTAAGAAACCAAATCAATAAGCAATCTAAGACATTCCTCATGAATATTGGGGGCCCCTTAAGAAAGGACGCCATCAAATCTATAAGATGATGGGGGGTTTGATATTCGTGAAGTAAATAAAAGTTTCCCAGGCAAAAGTGTCTAGGGAAAGCAAACATAAACTAACAAACATGCTTTACAAGTGGTGAGAGGGAAGCGGCAGAATCAAAAAGTAAAGACAAATCAGTAACTTCGAGGTACGTTGTCTCATAAAAGAGTGTAGCATCTATACCTACATATTTAGCACTCTGAACTGAATTCAGAATGTGGGAATGTAAATTAGTTCCATTATGCACGCCGTATGGGAATTATACACTTAGTCACTGTACTTACTCAATGGAGCAGGACTGAAATGGATTCTAACCCTAATATTCACATAAGCATCTCTGATTCCACTGGGACTTTAGGTGGTGGGGGTAAGAGGGATAATCTCAATTATTGAATATTGTCCTATGTCCATCCATTATTCAGTCTGTAAATACACAAAAAATTTACACACCATTTTATGTGCATTATTATGCAGTTTGACATTTCTTTTCTCAATCAGAAAAAGATTATTCGAGTGACTAAAAACCAAAAATCCCAACAAGACTATTGCTCATTCTAACTGAATGGTTTGTGAATGGCATCCCAAGGTATTTTGCTTCTGCAACTTCATACAAATTGCGAAAATAAATGTGAAGAAAAATATCTAGTTAAGTCCAGAAAGTAGAAGGGAAGAGGAGAGAGAAGGGAGGGGAGGGAGAACTTGGGGGGAGGGAGGGTATCTGGGGGGACCTCACCTAATGTGCATGATGCAATGGTACATTTCAAAACTATGAAGAAATAAGTATAATTGGGCAGCACCTGTGGCTCAGTGAGTAGGGCACCAGTCCCATATACCAAGGGTGGTGGGTTCAAATCCAGCCCCAGCCAAACTGCAACAAAAAAATAGCCGGATCTTGTGGCGGGTGCCTGTGATCCCAGCTACTCAGGAGACTGAGGCAAGAGAATCGCCTAAAGCCCAAGAGCTAGAGTTTGGAGGTTGCTGTGAGCTGTGATGCCATAGTACTCTACTGAGGGCAACAAAGGGAGACTCTATCTCTATTTAAAAAAAAAAAAAAGAAAGAAAAAGAAATGAGTATAATTGTGATGGATGTGTTACTTAGTTCAATGTAAACATTTCACATTGTATATGGAAGCAGTACCCTGGACCCCATAAATGCTTCAATATACAAAGTTATGATTTAATAAAAAACAATTAAAAAATATCTAAGGTTAAAAAAACAAAAACTTCATTTTATTTATGAGACAGTTTTAGAAGTCAGTGCCATTACTCTTCCTATGTCATTTCTTATTTATCAGTAAAAGGAGTTTTTAATCAAGTTACAGATTATGCTATCACTTAACAATATTCTTTTTTTATTAGATCATATTTGTGCACATTAATTCTATAATGGGATACAGTGTGTTGTTTCCATATACAATTTGAAATACTTTCATCCAATTGGCCAACATAGCCATCATGTCATTCTCATAATTGTTGTGTTAAGACATTTATATTTGACATTTAGAAAGATTCACATGTACCCTTATAGGAAAAATCATAGGCATGATCCCCGCAATCACCCTCCCTTCACCCATCCTTCCCCCTCCCCTCCCCTCCCTCACCCCTTTCATGATATTCTTGGACTCCATTTGAATTATAGCTTTCCTATGATAGTTAACAATTAGTTTCATAATACGGTTGAGTACATTGGATACTTTTTCTTCCATTCTTGAGATACTTTGCTAAGAAGAATATTTTCCAGCTCCATCCATGTAAACATGAAGAAGGTAACGTCTCCATCTTTCTTTAGGGCTGGCATAATATTCCATGGTGTACATATACCACAATTTACTGATCCATCCATGGGTCAATGGGCACTTGGGCTTCTTCCATGACCTAGCAATTGTGAATTGGGCTGCAATGAGCATCCTGGTATAGATATCTGTACGGTAGTGTGATTTTTGGTCTTCTTGTATATCCCAGGATCTCAAGGCTAGTTCAACATATGCAAATCTATAAACATAATACACCACATAAACAAATTAAAAGACAAAGACCATATGATCCTCTCAATTGATGCAGAAAAAGCTTTTAACAATATCTAGCATCCATTCATGATCAGAACACTTAAGAGAATTGGCATAGAAGGGACTTTTCTCAAATTGACAGAGGCCATCTACAGCAAACCCACAGCCAATATTGTATTGAATTGAATCAAACTGAAATCATTCTCACTCAGATCAGGAACCAGGCAACATTGCCCACTGTTCCCATTGCTCTTTAACATTGTAATGGAAGTCTTAGCCATAGCAATTAGGGAAGAAAAGGCAATCAAGGGTATTCACATAGGATCTGAAGAGATCTAACTCTCACTCTTCACAGATGACATGATTGTATACCTGGAAAACACCAGGAACTCTTCTACAAAACTCTTAGAAGTGATCAAGGAATACAGCAGCGTCTCAGTTTACAAAATCAACATCCATAAGTCAGTACCCTTTATATATACCAACAATAGTCAAGCCGAAAAAAAAAAATTCTTGATAATATGTCCTACCAAAAAATCTTTTAAATCATCATTCTTTTCTAATTTTTTTACTATTAAATCCATTCAAGAGGCATTATTTCATATTTGGAAAATTTATGGTTTTGTGACAGTGATCTAGTATCTGACATACACTTGTCCATTATGTGGTTCACTATAAAAGTTTTGAGATACACAAAAATCAAGAAACATAAAATCCACACAGAAGGAAACCAATGAAGCCCTCCCGGCAACACCAATAAGCTGATCAATTTGAAACTTGCATGGGGGAATGAGAAAGGATGCTGTCAACTGCTTCGTGGAAGTAAAATAATGGACCATAACACAGTTTGCCTCAAAACTTTTGTAGTGATCCACATGTATGAAAAAATTGAAATAGCTCATTATTTTTGTAGCACTAGTAAGTTTCTGGTAAGCATTATGACTTTAGATTGATTTGTAAACATCGTGTTATAGGTACCTTCCCAACATTCTAACTTCAGATACCTTCTTTGACCATGAAAGGGCTCAATGGCTAAGTGAACGGGCTTATTGACAAGCGTTTCTACTTCTCATTTACCTCCCCAAAACAACGTAGAGCATGTCACTGAGAACCAAGTTTCTCTCTGCCCTCATGTTCTTACCTGGCCTCATCATCTGACAAAAAAAAAAATAAATAAATAAATAAAGTTTGAATTATTTTGACCATTCCAAATGGATGGATGTTGGGCTTTTATGGACATGGAAGAAGGCCAAGGACAGACAACTCTTCCTGACTTCAGCATGTGGTTGTCAGTTCGATAAACTAACTTTTAACCTTTAATATGAAAAACTTAAATGTGAATTTTTCTAAAAGAAAATATGCATTAGTCCCCCAAAATCTACAATGAAGTGTTTTAGTATTAAATTAATGCTGAGGGCGGTGCCTGGGGCTCAAAGGAGTAGGGTGCTGGCCCATATGCTGGAGGTGGCGAGTTCAAACCCAGCACTGTACAAAAAAACTGCAAAAATAAATAAATAAATAAAAACTTCTTTTAAAATAATTAATTAATAAATTAATGCTGAATTTCCTGGTGTACAAATAATACAGAGCAGTGACAATGAGCAATCTTAAATACTCATTTATTTGAGAACCTACAAGCAGCAATGGAGTCTAGAAACCGTGCCTGACCACCTGGACCTTAGATAATGCATGTTCTTTCCTAAAATCTATTCTTTCCTCTTTCTACTTTTATTCTCCCTAGGAATAGGTCTCTCAATTTTGAACTAGACACAGCACCATCCAAATAAAGGTTCTATTCCAAAACTCCTTTGCAAATAGAATCCCAGCTCTGACTACTTAAATTTTCTCATAAACAAAATAAACTTTTAGGTTTTTAACTTAATTTTTTATTTCAAAGTATTAAGGGAGTACAAATGCTTTGGTTACATGTATCACTATTGTAATGCTAGTCATGGTTATATGGTTATCACCCAAATAGTGTTCATTGCATCTATTAGGTAGGTTTTTGCCTCTTTCCACTTCTTCCTTCCCCCGTTTGATTTCCACTAAGTTTTATTCCTCTGTGTACATGTAGGCTCATTGGTTAATTCCAGTTTAAGAGTCATTTATAGTGCAATCCCCATCAAAATACCAGTGGCATATTTCTTAGATCTAAAAAATGATTCTACACTTTATTTGAAACAAACAAACAAAAAAAGAGCCTAAATAGCCCAACCAATCTTAA